GTAAAAACCAGAGCAACCAAACACGCCCTAAGAGCATCTCCAACAGCTTCCCCATCTTCTTGAAATACTCAAATTTGAAGAATATAGAGCTTTTTTTGGTCCAACAGATTCCCCATCTCATTCCCCAAAATAGGGAAGGGGGGGAAAAATAGGGAGCCTTCCCCAAATCTGCAGCATTCTCCAAATTTTTGGGGAGAGCTTTATTATTGTAATAAATACGATTTTTCAAAATGGGGAAGCTGTTGGAGTTGGAGCAAAAATAATTTGGAGAATATGACTTTTGTTTCTCCATTTTGGAGAAAATTTTGGGGAAGCTGTTGGAGATGCTCTAAAGATCCTAATCACAGAGGAGAAATGATATTCAAAAAATTATGACAATGACTGAGAAATGACACGTTAACCCATTTTCAGCCATAAATAGCGAATAGACTTTTAGGGGCTGTTTGGTTGTTGATGGTAAAGTTGTGTATTTATGACGCAACTTGGAAAGTTGTTGTCCACCTCATCAATTTCACTTTTATACTTTTCTTTGTTTGTTTTTGATTCCATTGGAATCATAAATAGCTTGTTTAGTTTGCAAATGTAACTTTAACTGTTTGTCTGGAAAGTGTAAAAAGTGGTCCCTACTCAAATGATCATATTGGTTGGAATTATTTTTTATTATTTTTTCCTGACTTTAATGTCAGCTTTCTCCTAAAATCATGTCTTTTTTTTTATGAAATCACTTTACAAGCCACATCAGCATATGAAATCACTTTACACTATTTTCACAACTACAAACAAACAATTAAAAGTGATGAAAGCTGACATTGGGACCCACTTTTTTACACTTTCCATCCTTTTACATGGTAAAAACATACAACCAAACAGCCCCTTACCAGTTTAAGACCTAAAGTTGGTTTCAAAAATCTCAAGATTTTATCTCTGGTCAAGACCTGACTATTAAAACCATGAATTTTCATTGTTCATCATAATCAGTTTTAGATACTTAAAACTCTATTAATCAGCATAAAAAAGGCATCTATATTTGTATCATGTCACACTATTAAACGGTAAAAAATAAATTACAAATAACGTAGCATTCATATTTGTAGGAGCTTTGCTACCGGGACCCAAAATATAAGATCAATAAGGGGGACAAGCGAGGTGTCCCCCTCCTATTGGATAACTAGTTGGTCATCATTAATTATGGCCAACTCGTTATCCAATAGGAGGAGGACACCTCACTTGTCCCTCCTATTGATCCCATATTTTGAGTTCTTGAGGAATTTTTCTATTTATAAATATGACCAAAATTATTGGAAAATGAGAAAAAGAAAGCCAATTGATTGATAGTTATCGTTTTGAATCTAAGTAAAGGTCATAATCACGCATAACAGACACGTTGGACCAAGTTGGGTATTGACAATGATACGATGCATGAATAAGAAATCTAGTTACAAACTTGAACGAAACTAAAACCTTGAATAAGAAACAGAGCTTCTACCAGTGTAAAATTCAAACTTGAGTTCAATTTTTTTGACCAAATTTTAGATGTAAAGACATCAACGGTAAAATCAAGTATGTATAGTTGATCAAATTTATATATATCCAACACATATATATTGAGTCCGGTATCCATGGAAGAAAAGTTTATATCTCTACTATATCACATCATCTGCAATCAAACAAATTATAACTATATATGATAATGCATGCAAGTGTACGTTTGCGTCTGCCTTTTCTTTTATAAGAGTCTTTTATTCAAGCTTTCCAACTTCAGGAAAATATTGTGATGCCCTAACCCGTATCATGTAAGTATGTAAGTTTAAAGTCTATGAAGTGAAGCGCAATTAGTGCTTCGGCACTAGATTGAACCAAGAAACACGTTGCACCTGATGAGCATACAAAATAACACTACCTAAAGGGCTCGCGAGGTTGGAGCTCGACAAATATCTCGTCACCTCTCTTGTCCACTTCACAACAAGAATATATTTAGTTATTAAATTATTTACGAGCTTTTACGAATTAATAAATATTTTCAAAAAAGTAAAATTGAGTTTAAATCAACTAATATTCATAAAAGTAAAATATTAGGATTTAGGAAGCGTAAACTAATAATAGATAAAAAAAGAAATAAATAAATAAACTACCTTCTTTATTTATTTTTTGTTACAAGGGAAATCTTGATTTTTTTTTTGGGGGTGGGGTGGGGTGGGGTGGGGTGGGGGGGTTGGTGGGGGTGTTACAACCAGACGATTAACTTAGGGGAGAACGGCTCAGGCTACTAGTATTCGGACCCTCTGCGGAGATCTAGGCACTGTTTGGCAACAAGAGATTGTGTCTTATCTAAGAGATTGTGTCTTATTGACTTGGTTAATAAGCTAGTAGAGCTGTTTGGTGACCAAAAATAAGAGGAGATTATTTTGAAGATTGTGTCTTTTGCAAGTAGCTTTTAGAAAGCTACCTCAAGTAGCATTTGTCTTTGGGAAGGAGCTGCCAATTTTTTTTTCTTCCGTTTTTACCCCTAATAATTCTAAATTTATATCAATAATATTGCATGTTCTTTTTAGTCATTTAACAAATTTAAGCTAGCTGTACAGCTACTTTTGCCAAACAGCTCTAGTCAATTAGCTAGCTACACAGCTATCAGCTATAATTTCATAGCTTTCAGCTAGCTTAACAGCTTTCAGCTATAATCTCACAGCTTTCAGCTAGTTTTGCCAAACAGAGCCCTAGTCATCAAACATGACCTTCACCTGACCAAGTAAACACATGATATTACTAACCTCCATAATAGTCTTAGTAAAATATCAATTGAATGTGGAAAAGGAGATTCAAACCCATGCACTTGGAGCGCATATCATGAACCATTTGAGCCCCACCCCTTGTGCTGACATGTAACACTTTCAATATGTGCATCCCGGTGCAAAGCATGACCCATTGTTTTTTAAGCAATTCATTTTAAACTTGTCCCCCTCTAAGTTTTAATACATCTAATTTAATTATTGTATGCTTAAAATTAAAAATCATATTTGCTACTCTATACTTAAAGAAGGATCCAAGTTTTAATACATTTGATTTAGAAATAATATCTACTCCTCTATACTTAAAGAATAATACAATACTTGATTTAAAAATCATATCTACTCCTCTATATTTAAAAAAGGTTCCAAGTTTTAATACATTTTATTTGCTTTGTTGTTTTTGATATAGTAAATACTGTAGCATAAATGGTAACTTCAAGTATGGAGGAGCAGATTTGAGTTATGTTATAATAAATCACTGTAGCGTAAAAAATAATTTCGGGTGCAGAGCGCCTAATTTGATTTACTGTTCATGTTATAGTATTTTCTGTAATATTTACTGTAATATAAACAATAATTTTTTGTATTCACTTTTAAGTATAGAGGAGTAAATTACAAGAAGGAATTGATTTTAGAAAAGGAAAACACTACAGGCACACCCCTAACCACACCTTGGGGCACACCCCCTCTCTCAGCTACAGTGCACGGGGCCCACTTTAGATTTTTTTTAAAAATCTAAAGTGGGCCCCGTACACTATAGCTGAGAGATGAGGTGAAAATTCTAAAGTGGGTCCCGTGCACTGTAGCTGAAAGAGAGGTTGTGTCCCAAAATGTGGTTGGTGGTGTGTTTGTAGTGCCACTCTTTAGAAAATATTTAAAAAAAATTAAAATGGAAGGACAACAACAGGACACGCAAATTCATATCCAGGAGATGTCAGTAGGATCGTTCTCTTTTCCCTCGCCCCAAAATTCCACGTGCCTATTCTCATGCTTCTTTGGTCCTTCATTTTGTAGAGACGTCCTCATTCAATCTGAAATTGAGGATGGGTAACTTCTTGTTCGCGACAAAATTGCATGGTTGTTCCAGAGGCAGTCATTATCAACAATAACATCACAATCCCATCTTTAATTAAGTCTCTAATTTCGATTCTTTGATTAAGATTTCTCCAATGAGCTTTTCTCTCTTCCAAAAATACCTTAAGAATTCTTTTATGGAATCCAAAGTTCAGCTCGATGGCAAGGATAAAATTTTTTATTCTAAGTTAAAAATTTGTCAAAAAATATTCATTCATATATATACACACTCAAATTGATAAACATATACTCAAGAAGATTATACTTTATGGGTTTTTAAGTCGATTATGTCTATTTATTGTTACAAATGGTAAGATTTTTGCTATCATATTTCTTTCTTAAACAATATTATACTTTCGTCGAATAAAGTTAGTCTCATTTTTAAATATACAATCATCTTTAATTTAATTTAATTTTACCATTGAATTAGCTCTTATGGATGATGATAAACATTTTCTAACTTTCAAATTGTTTCGTTGATATTCCATCCGTGCATAAAGTTAGGTGGAACTATATTAACCAAAACTAACCCCAAATTATTATTAGCCAAATGTACACCGAAGAGCATCTCCAACAGCTTCCTCATTTCCCACTTTTGGAGAATTTAGTTAGAGCATCTCCAACAGCTTCTCCAAAATTTTCTCCAAAATGAAGAAACAAAAGTCATATTCTCCAAATTATTTTTGCTCCAACTCCAACCGCTTCCCCATTTTGAAAAATCGCATTTATTACAATAATAAAGCTCTCCCCAAAAATTTGGAGAATGCTGCAGATTTGGGGAAGGCTCCCTATTTTTTCTCCTCCTTCCCTATTTTGGGGAATGAGATGGGGAATCTGTTGGACCAAAAAAGCTCTATATTCTCCAAATTTGAGTATTTCAAGAAGATGGGGAAGTTGTTGGAGATACTCTAAGTGTTCCCAAACAAGATGAATGGAGGTGAATGGTTCCCCTAACCTCCCTTCACCCTCATTCCCCTCAATCCAAACAAGCCCTTAGAGTTTTTAATCAGAGGAGGTTAATTTTCGTTTGGGTTAATTTCATTTTAGTTCCCGAGAGCAACTCCACCAGTTTTCCTAAAAATTTCTCTAAAATGGGAAAGCAAAAGTCATATTCTCCGAATTATTTTTAATTTTTCTTCTACCCTACAAAAACCCATTAAAGAAAAAAAAAACCTGCAAAATTTCCAACTTTTCCAATCTGGGCTCTGCTGAAAAAACTGCAAAGATCCAATTTTGGCCACCTTCTCCTTAAAAACTCCATCTGGGTATTTTCCCCTAAGCTCCAAGATCTCATCATTATGGCGACTGTACAAGGCAAGCTCTCCTCCTTCTTCAACAACAGATGGCTTGTTTTTGTGGGAGCAATGTGGATCCAATCTTGTGCAGGGATTGGCTATCTCTTTGGGAGCATCTCCCCTGTGATTAAGAGTTCTTTGGGCTATAACCAGCGTCAGATTGCGACGCTGGGGGTTGCCAAGGATCTTGGTGACAGTATTGGGTTCTTAGCTGGGACTTTGAGTGAGATCCTCCCTCTTTGGGCTGCTCTCCTTGTTGGTTCTCTTCAGAATTTTATTGGGTATGGATGGGTTTGGCTTATTATCACTGGCCGAGCTCCCCCTTTGCCTCTTTGGATGGTGAGTTGAGAAGGTTACTGAATTTTTTTTTGTTGAATTTTTTTGGTTAGATATTTGTACTTATGGTTGCAATTATTGGTACTTGTTAAGTGTTTGGACGTGATGATTTTGTTTTGTTTGGTTCCTTTGTCGGAATTAATTAGTTGATTGATTGATTCTAATATGATTTAGCCATCGTACTGTATTGGATTCTGCTAAATTTTTAGTCGGAACTAATTTTAGTGTTTTTGAGGAGTTTTAGGGGTTGATGGATTCAGGTTGCAGAATTATTAGGATATTCTTCAGTTGGAAAGGATTTCCCATTTTCTCAACTTATTGTCATAATAATTGAGTTGCTAGTTGACGCCTATATTTGATAAAGGTTCCATTAGATATATCTGATTAGTGCGGGGTGGAGACAAAAGGGTGAATCTTGGCATTGATTTATTAACTGTTATTTTGGGGGAAATAGCAATATGTATGTGTTCACGGTTTGTCATCTAAGTGGCTTGGACAGGAATCCTCCATTGGTGTTGCATGTTTTTCTTTCTTTTTTATTTTATTTTATTTATTTAAAAGTAATATAAGTGAGATAATGAAACATTTAATTTGTAGATTTAGCTAGATATTAACAAATTCGAGTAGACTGAATAGTTAATAAAATAATTGCGAAGAGTGTCTTAACTTTGAACCTCTCTTCAACTTGTTTCTTTCTGTAGAAAACTTTAGACAGAAACTTGTTTTGGTTTAGACTTGCACCAAAGAAAATGAAGGCATCCATGCTCTGCTCTCTATAAAAATAAGACTCGGATTTTTACATACCAACTTTTCATAGCATTCTTTCTTTTTGTGAGGGAAACACCACTAATGGAGTTTTTTTGGTATCATTGAAGGTTTAAAATTTAGAAATTGCGCAATGTAATGGATCAGAAAATTGTTTGTTGTATGTACTTTACTCCTGATCTGTCTTGCTAAATCTTATATCATTCAGTAATTGAACTTGGATATTACAGAAAATTTTAAGGGATATAAATTAAGGGACGTAGGATTGGTTTTTTTTGGTCCAAGAAAAGTTCTTTTGAGCTCATGAGTTGTATTCCTTTAAAAAAATATATATATCAAGAACAGTACTGCAATAAGAAGAGCAGAAAAGGAAAGATTTCTTCTTTTGTTATTCACTGAGTAATGATTGTCTGACCAATTTTTTTATTCAATGTGACATATTTCGAATAATTAAGAAGCGCACTTATAAAGGACTCAGGGACTCAACCACTTGCATCAGTTGACTACAGGAATTGCATTTTGTGAAAATATGTAAAATTCCTTGATGGCCCATTTGAACGGGAACATATCTGGAACATTTTTTTTGTTCTTTATGTTGTTTTTGGACTGTTAATGGTGCTGTAGATCTAGATCATACTTGATGATATTGATTTTTAATCCTCATGATCCATGTTGCAATGTGTAATGAAAGTATTTGTATTCCTTATACATCAGAAAGTAAAACATCTATAGAAGGAACATGTTGTTGTTCATTGTTATTGTTATAATTACGAGGACCATTTATGCCTGAAGAATGAATATTTTCCATGTAAAAATATTCATCGTCAAATTAACTGTATTGATCTAGCATGGTTTTATGCTTAAATATTCTTCTTCCCTATTTGGCTAACTTATACTGCTGTCATATATTTTTCTGTTTTGGGTCTTCTGTTAATCTTGTCAGTGACAAAACTTTGCATTTCTTGATTTACTTTTTAGCTTAATGATGCTCCAAAGGAAATCTGTACTAAGCATGTAGCTTTGCCGTTTCAGCCCCATGATCATCATAAAGTTTTTCGTTAATACCTTGTCTCACTTTGTACAGATGTGCATCCTCATCTTCATTGGGAACAATGGAGAAACTTATTTCAACACAGCCGCACTTGTTTCATGTGTACAGAATTTCCCCAAGAGCAGAGGGCCCATAGTAGGAATCTTGAAGGGCTTTGCGGGTCTGAGTGGTGCAATCTTGACTCAGGTATACACAATGATTCACACACCCGATCATGCCACTTTAATCTTTATGGTTGCTGTCGGGCCCACGATTATAGTTATAATGTTAATGTTCATCGTCAGACCGGTTGGAGGGCACAAACAAGTACGATCATCTGATAGCTCGAGCTTTGTATTTGTTTATACTGTGTGTCTCCTTCTCGCAGCATATTTGATGGTTGTCATGCTTCTTGAGGATCTAGTAGACTTGAGCCATGCCGTGACTATCTTGTTCACAGCTGTCCTTCTTTTTCTACTAGTAGTTCCTATTGTAATTCCTTTGCTTCTCACCTTTTGTACTAATGGTACCTCCCCAGACCAAGAGTCTCTCTTGGCTGCACCTCAAAAGGGGGAGGCTGGCAAATCTGAACAATCCAGTGAGCAGCAGGAGGTTATTCTCAGTGAAGTAGAAGATGAAAAACCCAGGGAAATGGATTTACTTCCGGCTTCGGAGAGGCAGAAAAGAATTGCTCAACTGCAAACGAAGTTGTTTCAAGCTGCTGCTGTTGGAGCAGTGAGAGTGAAGAGGAGAAAAGGACCTCGCAGAGGAGAAGACTTTACCTTGATGCAGGCTCTGATAAAGGCAGATTTTTGGCTTCTTTTTATTTCTCTTATGTTGGGGTCAGGTTCAGGTTTAACGGTCATTGATAACTTGGGTCAGATGAGCCAATCTTTGGGTTATGAAGAAACTCATGTTTACGTGTCTATGATCAGCATATGGAATTTTCTGGGGCGAATCGGTGGAGGTTACATTTCTGAGGTTGTCGTAAGGTATTTTCACATGCCGTTTCTATTATCTACTATGTGAACTAAATGTTTATATACTTTGGGATGAAGATTAAGTCTGTGTAATCATTTTATCCCTGCTCAGTAGAACACACGCGTACAAGTAGTTCTCTGTTTAGCTTGTCCTTTAAGATTTAGTTTTATTTATCAAAAGTATTTATTTCTAAAACATATACCATTTATAAAGCTGCAGTTATTACATCTATACCTGCAGAGTTGGCGATTCAACATATAACCCCCTGACACTGAAAAGTTCTATGAATATATAAACATTTTGTCGGATTTACTTTGTTAGGTATTGATAATTTTGCACTTATTTTTCCAAAGTCATGAAATTTTTAAGGATTCATTAGTGGTCATCCACGTCATGTTGTTAATGGTTTTTGCATACCATCAGATTTGAGGGTATAACATCTAATCACGCCGCTTTTTGAAGCATATTTTTATTCACTTGACGCCTTCTTATGAAGGGGGTGTATCTGTGAAAACCTATGTTATCCGGGTACTTCTATAATGAAGCCGTACCCGTACCGGACACGTACCTGTAGGCGTTAAAAAAATACTTACAGACATCCAAATACCACTCAAGGCAAAGAGAAGACGATAAACGCCTTTCTCTTAATCAGAGGGGATCATTCAAAGGAAGCGAGACAACATGGAAGAACAATGTACATACCAACAGGCAGTACATGACGGCGCGGCTGAGGCACGCCAGTACATGGTGAGGGGGTGCTATGGTGGTTACAAGACAGTTATACGATGATTATTTGAAGCCCACGTGGCGGCATATCAGAAATAGAACGTGTGCTGACGTGGACAAGCAGTTAAACCACGAAAAGGGTGGTTAAAGGTCGTGGGAGAACAGTTTCAAACAGGAGGGAATGTGGGTGCTGCGGCGGTTACAAGGCAGTTATACGATGATTATTTGAAGCCCACGTGGCGACATATCAGAAATAGAACGTGTGCTGACGTGGACACGTAGTTAAACTACGAAAAGGGTGGTTAAAGGTCGTGGGAGAACAGTTTCAAACAGGAGGGAATGTGGGTGTAACTGCCCCTTTAGCCGCGTCAGCCCACACTGCCACGCCAATAGCCACGGCAGTGTTGACTGACGCGGCCAAAGAACATTTGGTTGGTCAGTTATCTCGCCCCCATTTCCACTGTTATGCACTGCTACCCCTATAAATACCTCCCTAGACACGAAATAAGGGACATAGAGGAGATTGGAGCAGAAAAGGCTTGAGCTTTTGGTGAATTGGAGCAAGAGAGAGAGAGTCTTTCTTCTTCACAAACATCCTCAAAAATCTTTTGGCGATTCCTAGAGATCTAAGCTCTGACTTGATCTTTGGAAGAGTGAACATCTTACATCGATAAGATATTCGCTTAAAGATTCTTACTTCGATAAACGAAGAAGAATATCCAAAAGCCTTCACGATTCAATCAGAGTCTGTGAATCGGTGGTCCACGAGTTAAAGCACTCCCGGCATAGGCAAAGTCCCACAAAACAGGAATCGATAAACGATTTCTGTGTTATTTTCTAGAAAGTTATAATTTTTCTTTTATTGTGTAAAAGAGGTCTTATAAAAAGACTATTTTCTTTTGAATTTATTATAATCGATCGAAGATATAGTGAATTCCACAATAAAACCAACTCTGACGACTGGCGACCACAGTGGGAGCCAACGGTCTCGCTGTCGAGACCGTCGTGTCGCAGCCGATCAAGATTCCAGTTGAATCCACGGTCGAATACGAGTTTGACCAAACCAAGTTTGAGGAATATCTCTCATCATCCTCTTCAAGATCTTCATTATCTCACAAGTATAAGAGGATCTCATCATTGAAGAAGGCTTATACGCCAAAGAAGGCTAAAAGTGAAGACTCTCGCCCAATCGTTGTTGAGGCATTGCCTCGCAACATTATCCCGGCGATCCCCAAAGTCGAAAGCTCTGCTCATAATGATTCCACCCTAATTAAGGAGTCGTTCGATCGAAGTTCGCCAACTCTGACGAAGAGGGCTCGTCAGAGGCGACGCCAACGCCGCGCTCGTCAATTGGCTAAGGCCTTGGAACAAACCGATGGAGTTCGTTACTATGCGAACTTAGAATCGAGGAAACATCAAGTGGTCCAGTCGCCTCAACGTCAAATCATTCACATCTCAGCAAAACTTACGTTGGAGGAATGGACTCTTATCAAAAGGGCCTGTTCGACCCTCAAAGAACGCATACAAAAGCGTATGGCAAACACCGCTCGTGCCCGTGCTCTTTTACAACAAAGACGAGAAGGAAAGAAGAAAACAGTGTCTAAGGAAGCACCAAAGAATCACAAAGTATGGATCCCCAAATCCAAACTAGTACGAAAATTGGGTCTGCAGAACACAACCTTTGACCGCGGCAGTCTTCACTGCCGCGACGCTTCTTTCAACCGCGACAGCTCATACTGTCGCGGCATCTCCTTCAACCGCGGTAGTCTCCGCTGCTGCGGCACACTGTTCGACCGCGACACCAATCACTGCCGCGGCCAAAAGAAATTTCACAAGAGCACTCCTTCGACTCCATCAACGTTCGTTCCGGGTCCGTCTACTGTGTCAACACCCGCTGTGTCACCAGTGAAACCCTGGGTCAGTCCTGACCCGTCGAAATCCAAAATTATAATGGCGGATGGCCTCGATCCTTTACCTGAAGATCGAGGCAAAGCTCCGGTCAAAGAACACTTGGGTCCGGTGAATGAATCCCAAATAGATTCTTACACTGGGGATCGTAAGTATCCTCCTATCAAGTCAAAACAACTCCAAGATGGGAAAACCCTAATTTCTACCCGTTTGGGAGTTCGTAATGAAACTCAGGAGCCCGTTAAGACTCTGCACTCGCAAGGGGGTGGTTCTAAACATGCGACTCCTGACGTGACCTTGGATCGCTCAAATGCGACGACAAGTTGTCCTGAGAACGCCAACAAGGCTTTACATCCTCAGAAGAAGACATGTTCGTCAAAAGACATTGTTATACCTGGGGGCTCAAACCAACAGATGATAGGATTCTTCGGTAATTATACCGATGAGTTGTACTATCAAGCTGGGGGTGTGAACAAAACTCGAAAGAGGATTGTCCGAGAAATGAGATCTCATTGTTTCTGTATGCGACTCATTAGAGCAGTACTGTCAGAATGTGACTACTCCAAACGAGAAGCCCATTGTTTCTGTATGCGACTCATTAGAGCAGTACTGTCAGAATGTGACTACTCCAAACGAGAAGCCATCTTACAAAGAGTCTCAGTGTTCCAGAGGCTTTTCACCGAAATGTTGAGGCCTAAGCCGAAACATTTCCGCAAGAGAAGATCAGCTGTCCAAGATGACGAATTCCCTAAAGTCACCATCAACATGGTTGATAAAAGAAAGTCTAAGCGGCATTCAAGTGACTCAAATCCCGATTTTTCCCCGAGAGAAAAAGTCAATCCAAGAATTGCTCAACGGATGTCTCGACTCCAATTAGGAGCCATCAGACGTAGGGATTATAAGAGAATGCATGAAGAAATATCCTCGGAGGATGAACTTTCAGACACTTGTTCAGCCATTGCTTCTGATGATACAATGTCTAGCACGGGGCAAACCAGAGAAGTGCTCACAATCACCCCTGATCAGTTTGCTCAAATCCTTCAAGAAGCTCTAGCCAAACAACGTGAAGAAATTAGAGCTGAGATAAAGACAGAAATAGAGTTGGCTATTCAACAAATGAAAGAATTGCAAGCTCAACGGCCTCAACCTCCTGAATCCAGTCAACGAGCTGAATCCAGCCGCCACACTCAGAATGTTATAGATGACAGCGATCCAGAAGTGGATGAAATCATTATGGCTGATACACCTCCCAATGACAATAACACTAGGGGTGGTTCAACGGATCCTCCTAACAACAATATTGGGGGTGGTTCAATTTTACCTTTTAATAATACTGTGGGTGGCCCAATTATTTCTGCTCAACATCACTCAAAGAGAGATGAAGATGAGGACAAGAAAATGCAAGACCTTGAACATAAAGTCAATGCTTTGATGTCCGCTCAGGAAGTAAAGAAGACGGGTATTCCGTGTCCCTATCCAAGAGAATGAGATTCAATACCGTACCCGATAAAATTCAATCTGATCAACTTCACACCGTTTGATGGGAAGAGCTCGCCTATTCAGCACTTGATTTATTTTAAGTCTCATTTGGGCATGATCTCTGGAAACGAGACTTTAATGGTCCGGTCATTCGTTGGCACTATTCGTGGGCCCGCCTTCGATTGGTACCGACGTCTTAAGCCAGGGAGCATCAATTGCTGGGATAACATGGAAAGTTTGTTCCTCAGCAATTTCTTCGATGATGACACCGAAGTGTCAATCAGAACCCTTCTGGATGAGAATTAAAAAGACGGAGAGTCAGTCGACAATTTTGTCAAGCGCTTCCGTAACAAGATAATGAATTACAGAGATCCTGTTACAGAGGAGTTCATCCTGCAAACATGCCACAATAATCTCTACATCGATGTCCTAGAAACCCTAGGGGTCGTACCATCCAAAACTTGGAAATATTTGAAAATACGCGGTGAACAAGCTGAACACTTTCTTAAAAGAAAGAAAGCTGAGAGAAGCCAACCGACGACATCTACAATCACTGGGAACGCGACTCCCGATCCGAGGTTTCAAAAGGAGTATTCTTTCGAAGATGATGAAACTCCAGCCATCTTGAAATACCTCCTCGCCAATGATAAAATCGAGCTACCACCTATTAAAGATCAAGAGAGAGCTAAGAGAATTACGGATCTAAACTACTGTGCGTACCACAGAAGGGTTCTTCATCCCACTGAGATTTGCTTCGGACTCAAAAATAAAATCCAAGCCTTAATTGACTCCGGCGTCATGACGGCGAAACAAGCCAAGTAAAGACGACTCTAACTCCATTGGGTGCACGAGTGTAAACTGTTTCCCCTCACTCCAAAGAGTATACGAGTATAAACTG